CTGAGCAGAGGGCAGGCTGTTTCTCATAATCTGGAGAAAAAGACAAGGACTCTCCTGCTCTTCCTAGCCCTGACTAGCTTTGGACAAAAGTGTACAAAGTTCTGCAAAGTGAGATGGGCATCAAACAAATCTAATAAATAAATACATTCCATTAGTTCCAGCTTGTTTTGTCGCATCCATTTCATCCATACTTTAAATAATAGTAAATGCAGCTATGACTGGGGGAAATTGGCAAAATTGCAAGCCAGACTCTGCAAAGACGTAGGTCTCATGTTGATCCAAAAGACCATTAGGGCTTATTTTCAGTGATTTTTTCATGTACAGGAGGCAGTGAATTCATGGAGGACAGGTCAGCAAGCAGCAAGATGCAGAGGCATGGGGGAGGGGAGGAGTTGCTGCCTCCCACATCTGCTGCGATTTATTTATTTATTTAATTTTATTTATATGCCGCCCAATCCCAAAGGACTCAGGGCGGCGTACAAAATTAAAACAATCATCAACAATAAAACAATAAAATAATAGAATCATACCGCGAGTCCGATCATATCCTGCCCCCCCCCCGGGGACATCAGCCCCAGGCCTGCCGGAACAGAAGAGTTTTAACGGCTTTCTTAAAGGCCGGCAGGGTGGGAGTAGTTCGAACCTCGGGGGGAAGTTGATTCCACCATGTCGGAGCCACCACAGAAAAGGCCCTTCCCCGAGGGCCTGCCAGCCGACATTGTCTGGCCGACGGGACCTGAAGGAGGCCCAATCTATGGGACCTCACCGGTCTCTGGGAACTGTGCGGCAGTATGCGGTCCTGTAAGTAACCTGGCCCTATGCCATGAAGGGCTTTAAAGGTGATAACCAACACCTTGAATTGCATCCGGAGACCCACAGGAAGCCAGTGCAGCTCGCGGAGGATAGGTGACACGTGGGCGTATCTTGGCGCGCCCACAATCGCTCTCGCGGCTGCATTCTGAACCAACTGCAGCCTCCGAACACTCTTCAAGGGTAGCCCCATGTAGAGCACGTTACAGTAATCCAGTCTTGAGGTGACAAGGGCATGAGTGACTGTGAGTAAAGCCTCTCGGTCCAAATAAGGCCGCAACTGGTGCACCAGACGAACCTGGGCAAAGGTCCCCCTGGCCACAGCCGATAGATGTTGTTCCAAATTTAGCTGTGAGTCCAGGAGGACACCCAAGTTGCGTGCCTGCACTGAGGGAGGTAAATTTGCCCCCCCCAGGACTAAAGATGGACCATCCAGTTGACCTTTGGGAGGCAAGACCCAGAGCCACTCGTTCTTGTCAGGGTTGAGTCTAAGCCTGTTCACCCCCATCCAGACCCTCACATCGTCCAGGCACTGGCACATCACGATTGAAAGGTGAAGCATCACTCCCTCTTTTAAGTTCCACCTTTCACTTGTGTTTTGGAGCTATCCTGTTGCATTGGCAGGCAGTGTTACTACCACTTGGTTTCAGTGACCATGGATTCTTCCTTCCTGCAGGGTAGTTGGAAACTCTGCTCCTTCCTTCCTGCCATTACGCAGTGAACGCTGGTCCCCACTTTCTTGCCGTCCTGCATTGCCCCATGTCTCCCTTCTCTGGTCTGGAAATGGTAGCCCCATTTTCTGCCGCTTCTCCTCCTGGTGTTGTATCCTTCCTTTGTTTGGAAGGACACTAAGTTCTGGGAAAACTGTGCCAGCTGGAGCTGGGCAAGGAAGACCAGGCTCCCCTTCCCCTTGAGATTTTGCATGGAGAAGTGGACCTGCTTCCTGCAGGGTTGACCTCGGCACCCGCTTTGGTTGGCAAACACAAGAGCTTTGCTCTTTTTCTCCAGGGTCTTTAAAATTGCCCCCTCCCCTTTGTGTCAGATGAGACCAATTAAATTAGAACTGTGAGGCTAGAGGTTTCCTCAAAGAACATGTTTATTGGTTAACAAAGTATCAGCACAGTCAAATTTGAAATCAAGTCTGAAATTCACTCCAAAGATTTACACTATTATAAAGTTAAACTTTGCAGCCCAGTGCTATGCAATCAGCTACTCTTCCCAATAGAATAGATTGATGAACTTTCTAATAGAATGCTCAACCTCTCCCCCCACCCGTCTAATCGGCAGGTGATCTTGGTTCCCACGGGACAAAGAATTGTTTAGGCTGGCAGAAATTCCCCCCTCCCCCTCCCAGTCTTGTGGCAACCCAGAACGAGCAAGATGGCTGCAGCCAGTTTTATTGTACAGTTGACACTTTGCTTTTCTGCCTTAAAACACAGAGCAGACATATTTTTCTCCTGATTAGCTGAGGAGAGCTATGGTTTTTGTAAGAAGCTGAGTGTATGCATGAGTCCAGTCCCCTTGGAATGTGCCGGGCCTGCAGGAAGCGGATTTACTCCTCCATGCAAAGGGAAGAAAACACAGGCTACACTTGAGGAACAAAGATTGGCAAGATCAGAGAGTCAATGTCCAATGGTGGCAGTGCCAGAATTGAGGCATGCAGGCCCTGGGAATATCAGAACAAGAGAAGAAACAGTGGGTAAGCTGGCAGCAAGGAAAAGCAGTGGCACTGTCACCACTCTCTGGTCTTGCCACTCTTTGTCTCTTAAGTGTAGTCTGCTTTTTGTTCCCTTCCTTGAGTTTGGTGCCGCTATTGCTTTAACTTGCCACCAGCGTACACACCGTATCATCTCTAACTATGATGTTCTCATTGCCTACATGCCTCAATTCCAGCACTGCCACCAGTGGGCCTTGACTCTCTGAACTTGCCACTCTTCGTCTTTTTAGTGTATAATCCACCTGATTTTGGTACCATCATTGCTTTTCCTTGCTGCCAGCTTACCTGCCATATCTTCTCTAGCTTTCATGTTCTCATTCCATGAGTGCCTCCATTGTGCCACTGCCACCACTGGGCATGGACTCTCTGATCAGTTGTGGCAGTGCTGGAATTGAGGCACATAGGCAATGAGAACATCAGAGCTAGAGAAGATACGGTGGGTAAGCTGGTGCAAGGAAAAGCAATGGCAGCACCAAAGTTAAGGAAGTGAATGAAAGCATCAGAGGGTGGTAATGCCAGAATCGAGGCACGCGGGCCCTCTGAAGAGCAGAACAAGAGAAGATGCAGCGGGTATGCTGGTGGCAAGGGAAAGTAATGGCAACACAGAGCAGACATATTTTCCTCCTTATCAGCTGAGGATAGCTATGGGTTTTGGAAGAAGCTGAGTGTATGTTTGAATCCAGCCCCTTAGCAAGGGCTGGCCCTGCGGTAAGGGTATTCACTCCTCCATGCAAAACTGCAAAAGCTTTGCAGATCCCTTGGAGAAGGGGAGCCTGGCCTTCCTTGCCCAGCTCCAGCTGGCCTAGCTTCCCCAGAGCTTAGCATCCTTTCATACAAATGAGGAACACAACACCAGGAAGAGAATTGGCAAGAAATGGGGCTGCCATTTCCAGAACAGAGAAGGGAGACATGGGGCGATGCAGGGTAGTGAGAAAGTGGGGACCAGCAATTGTTGTGAGGTGGAAGGAAGGAAGGAAGGAGCAGTTTCCAACAAACCTGCAGGAAGGGAGAATGCATGGTCACTGAAACCAAGCTGTAGGAACAGTCATTGCCAATGCAACAGGATGGCTCCAAAACATCAGTGAAAGGTGGAGCTTAAACAGGGAGTGATGCTTCACTGTTGAATTGCAGGAGAGATGGGTGGTGGCAACTCCTCTCCTCCCCGTGCCTCTGCTTCCACCTATTGCTGGTGCTGCCACCCCACCTGCGACAGCCCCATCAAACCAGAAGGGTGGGGAACCCTGATTCTGAAGTGGTAGCTTGGACTCTGTAGCCCATGCAGTGTAGGTGTGTCTGAGCGCAACAATTGCCAGTCCGGCCCTCCAAGCAGCAGGTGGAGGCAGAGATGTAAGGGGTGGGTGGGCCGGGAGGCACACGATCTGGCTTGCTGGATGTGCTGGGAGACTGCGCGGTTGCCTGCCCCATCCCAGTCACAGCAGCTCTGGGCAAAGAGAGACAGTCTTTCAGGGCAGCAGGGCCATGCCATGGGGTCCTGGTGCCCCGGTAGCTAAAGGGCCAGGGAGATTTGGCAAGGCTCCTCTGCTGAATCAGGCCCTGGTGCCCTCCCCCTCCATCAGAGACCCCTGGATACCCCGTAGTCCCACCCAGGCCCCCACAGGTGCCCCAATGCAAGTGACGTGAACTGGTCATGCCCACCTGCCACCTCCCCATAGGGCAGTCACCCCCGCTCAACTACTTGCCTTGCCTAGCTTCTGGGGCTTATTTTTGGGGTAGGGCTTATATTAGGAGCACCCTAAAATCATGGTAGGGCTTATTTTTTGGTTGGGGAAACACAGTATAATTTATCTTTTGCATTTCCTCCACTAAGGCTCCAATTTCTAATCTTCTTTAAATACTGTGTCCACTGAATCAGCTTTGTAAGTAGTGACACAATGACCTGTTACCTTACGAGCTTGCTGAATTTTCCTGGATAAATTCCTGCAAGTCAGACTCTGCAAACTGTAGCAAAATGTAGATTCTTAGATCAGATAGAGAAGCCTACAGTTGAATCAGTGGTGTGTAGCACAATTAGTCCAGAAAAAAATTGAGCCATGTGCTCCCGTATTAATGTTGATTGGATTGTATAATGTTTATTGGATTGTATTATTATTAGGGTAGGGAAAACAAACATGTTTTAAATATGTGATTGAAAGGATAATGTAGGCTAGTTGACACCAGCACCTTAACCGTGCTTTGGAATGGCTGGAAACTGATCAAAGAGAGAAGCAACTTGGAATTAAGGAGAAACTTCTGGACAGTGAGGACAATCAACCAGTGGGACAGCTTGCCTCTAGAAATCGTAGGCACTCGATCACTGGAGATTTTTAAGAAGAGACTAGCCAGTCACTTATGTGAGATGGTATAGGTTCTCCTACTTGACCAGGGGCCTGGACTAGAAGACCTCCAAGGTCCCTTCCAGCTCTATTCTATTCTATAACCTGCTCCAAAAGTCACTCAGTGGGCTTCATACCTAAGGCAAAACTGGAACTCCCAATTTCTAGCCTGATGCCTTCACCACTATACAGAATTGGCTCTACTACAGCAGACAATAGAAAAACCATAGAAGCTTTCTATTTAGAACAAATGGCAATTCTATTATTCTTAATTATTTTTGTGCCTTAAGTCAGTGTGGACTCCTGATGACTGCATGGACAGGTCTCTGCAAAATTTTCCAAAATGGTTTGCCGTTGCCCGCTGAGAGAGAATAATTGGGTCAGGTCACCCAGCTGGCATCGTGCTCAAGGTAGGACTAGAATTCACAGTCTCCAGGTTTCTCACCTGATCCCTAAACTACTACAGTAGACTGGTTCTCATATATTATGGTTCATCGCACAGTCAGCCAGAGGTTTAGGCTGGATAATTGTTATTGTACAACTTGTTGAACTTATTAGTTCATGCACGTTCTATGCTATGTTTAACCCTAGCTGTTTGAATAAACCATGTTTTCCTGGGTTCTAAGGGACAAACCACAACGAGGGCGCTTTATTTACCACATGCTATCCCACAGCAAAGCAAACAGCATTGCGATTGGGAAGGGTTAAAAAAAATGGGTCTACTGCCATCCTGTGGTTCAGTGTTGCTCAATGCCCTCCATACAATCAGCCTATCCTGTCTGGCAGGTTGCTGTAAAGGTACAACACACACCGTGTTTGGAAGAAAAGGACAATACAGCACAAACAGTAGGACAATAGTAAAGAACAGGACGGAAAACGGAAGAGCCAGGGTGGTGTACTGCTTCTAATATTGTAGAGGACCGAGGAGACCCAGGTTCAAGTTCAACCCTCCTTTACTCCTAGAAGCCCCCCTACCTCACCCCGGCCAACCTCACGGGGTGAAGGTTGTGGTTGTAAAATGATCCGTAGATAAAACGGAGCTCTTGAGAGGAAAGTCAGGGTTGAAGTCGATTCCTCCAAACAGAGAAACGAGAAGATCTTTGTAGAATCGCGTGTTGTTTTCTAGCCTAGCCCACTCTGGCGGCCGAAAGGCTCAAAGAAACGAGGCGAAGCTGATTTCTGAACGTCCGTGGAGCTTTCTACTGCGGGGGTCGGTTAAGTGCCTTGCTCGCCCACCGTCTTCTGGCAGTGCCTTGTCCTCCCACCGGCGGCTGCTTTGAGCTCGCGACTCGCTCTGCCACAATCGTCGCTGCCTGCCGGTTTCCAGGTTCCGGGGGTGGGAGGGGGTGGGAAGTTGCTCCCGGGCTTTTCCAGCTGAATGCTTCTGGGCTCAGGGCCAAGGGTTCTCCTGGCGGCAGCCTTGGCGGCGCTTTTCCTACTTTTGCCCCCGTCCCGCGTCTCCAGAAGAGGGAAGGTGCAAAAGCAACGAACGTGTGTGCGTGTGCGCGCGCTCCTTATCCCTCTCGCTCTTTTGTGTGTGTGTGTGTGTGTGTGTGTGTGTGTGTGAGAGAGAGAGAGAGAGAGAGAGAGAGAGAGAGAGCAGGAAGCCAAGAGCGAGAAGATCCTGGTGGCTCCCGGGCGTGCCAGCGAAACATTTTTGCAAGGAGCACGCGCCGACCGGATCGCAACTTCAAACCAAAAAGGATCGGGCTCGTGCGCTTTGTTACCGCTCTCGCCCGATGGTCCCATTTCGCTGCTATCCTAACAGCGTCGCGTGTGATCCCCGAAGGTTGCGGGCCCCGCTGCGCCCAGAATTCTCAATGAGGACCAGGCACCGGGCATGAAGGTAAGCGTAGGGGAGAAGCCCCGATTCCTGCTTTCCGCGGTCCCCATGCCCGGATTTAGGAACTCCGGCGCAAGAAGGAGCTGGGTTAAACCGGCTGTAAGAGAAAGCGGGGGATAAAGAACTGGTGGCACCTGATCGTCCAACGCTTCAAAAGTTGGTAGAAGAAAATACCGGACAGGAATGAAAAGGAAAAGGAGTGTTCTCAAAGCAACCGTGTTCGGGTCAGATTTTTAGGTCAACTCTCTCATTTAATATCACAACGTGGACTTCAGGCAAACCATTCTTCTGTTGAGTTCCTTTCCTTCCTCCCTCAATGAAGGCTGTGGCTGCCTTTGCTGAAATCATAGAGTAAGAAGTTTTGACTGCTCTGAAGTGCAATAAAATACCGTGTGTGTGTGTGTGTGTGTGTGTGTGTGTGTGTGTGTGTGTGTATGTGTATGCAATCCTCGACTTACAACAGTTTGAAGTTACAATGGTATTGGAAAAAGGGACTCATTGTTCACACTTATGACCATTGCAGCATCCACTTGTTTATGTGATTTATATTTGGATGCTTGGCAACTGGTTCATATTTATGATGGTTGCAGCGTGTGGGGGGGTGTCATCTGATCCCCTTCTGAGACCTTCTGACAAGCTAAGTCAATGGGGAAGCCAGATTCACTTGACAACCGTATTACTGATTTAACAACTGCAGTGATTCACTTAACCAATGTGGCAAGAAAAATAGTAAAATGGGACAAAACCTACTGAACAAATTTCTCACTTAGCGATCTAAATTCTGGGCTCAGTTGCGGTCGTGAGTCGAAGAGTGCCTGTCTACTTGTGATAATGACACTGCTCTTTCGAGAACAATGTCCTAGGCTGAAAGGATGGGAAGAAGGGAATTGTCCCTGTTTTCTTTTTAAATAGCTATTTTTTTTCTTGTTCTCAAAGGTGGCCTGGAGTGGGCAAGGAAGGTGGAATGTCGAACTTCCACCCGGTGAGCTTGCAGACTTGTCCCAGTTCTCCACGGGACTCGTGGATTCGGTCCCTGAAAGAAACCTCCTCTACGAGCTTTGGAAAAAAATGCACTTGTTCCGTAGCTGCAGCTATCGGATCCAGCTGGAGGGACAGATGACCAGTGCCCCAAGGATCCAGGGCATCCGATGGGTAAGTAAGAATGCTTGGTGGTTGCAGACAATCAGGCGGGTCCTATTTTATGGGAGCTATTGGCCAACCTGCCTAGGCTTGGAGGCTTGCAAGTTTGGCCCTGGAGAGAGGAGACCACTTAGAGACCCAAGGATTATAGGTCAAAGAAAAGCATGATGGATATGCCAATGTAGTCACAAGGAGCTTCTCCTCCCCAGAGGCAGGAATATTGATGCAGCTAAGATAAATCACTCATTTGTTATTATGCCTGTGAGTCAAGAGTGCTGACATGAGCAGGGCGAAGGGATCCATGTGCTTTCGCTTTCAAGCAGGAGGTGAAATATTTTTTACATCACCAGAATCTGAGTGTGCATTTTATTTTAGCACACAGGCCTAACAAATATTCCTTGTGTGTCCTGAGAAAGTTTATGTCTTGTCCCTTACATCTTGTCTGTTGGTGGGGAAGGAGGGGGGCTATGGTTGATTAAAAAAAAAAAAATCCTTATTTTTAATATTGCTGTTCTTAACAGAAATGTGTTGGCGTTTCTGTTGTTTCTTTTTGCTTTCTAAGAACGATGCAATTGAGTGACTGGCCAAAGTTGTCCCATGCATGGGCTTTTGTTTATCCCTTGCAGGGATAGTCAACTTTGGCTCTTTTATGACTCGTGGACTTCAACTCCCAGAATTCCTGAGCCAGCCATGCTGAGGAGAAATTGAGAGGTTTCCATTCTGAGCCATGCTGGCTCTGGAATTCTGGGAGTTGAAGTCCACGAGTCATAAAAGAGCCAAGGTTGCCTATCCCTGGTCCAAACCAACAAGATCACAGAAAGGGACAGGCTGCTTTCAGCTCAACACCCTACCTTGCTGATTGCAAAGCCACCACCCCGCAGCAGCTTTCTTTTCTCCTGATGAATCCACTGCAGTAAATTGGCTTGATTAATCGCAGCTGCACCTGACAGGTTGCTGGCTCAGGAATTCTGGGAGTTGAAGTCCACGAGTCATAAAAGAGCCAAGGCTGACTACCCCTGCCTTATAGTGAAAACCTGCCTGCTCCCAGGAAGTTCAGGCTTACCTGAGTCGATCCTCAGAACATCAGACAGTGTATAGGTGGTCCTTGACTTATGGTCACAACTGAGTCCAAAATTTCTGTTGCTAAGTGAGAAATTCGCTAAGTAAGTTGGGCCTCATTTTGCAACTTTTCTGGCCACAGTTGTTAAGTGAACTACTGTAGTTACTTATGTTGGTTACATGGTTGTTAAGTGACTCTGGCTTCCCCATTGACTTTGCTCGTCCAAATACATTCAAAATGCTTGCTTCTGATCAGCAATCTACAAGAATAATCTGGCGCCTTCCCCAACTCCTGATCACAATGGAAAATATCCCTCCCTCATCAGAGACACCTCAGGTGATTAGCATCTCTGTACACTTAACACAACGTTTGGAGTTTTTGCTCCATCTGTGGTTAGGACTACTCTCAGCAATCTTTGATGAGTGAGATGATTCTCACGGTCTGGCTTGCTAATCCAAGCTCTTGCTTTTGATCTTGTCTGTTGAAATCTATTAGCACCGGCTTCATGATGCTCGTGGCTGTTGCTGGGTTCCATTTGGTGGTTTCAACGAGATAGCCTGGGCCCTGGTTGCCAAAATGAGCTGGAGAGCTTGCAGATAGAACAAGTAAAAGGGCGTCACTTTTACATGTTCCCTGAATTCAGCTTTTCAATTTTCCAACTCTGATTGCTGGCTTTATTTTCCACCCTTTGGCAGTGGCTATATTTTCTTTCAGCTCCCAGGGAGATGGCAGCAATTAGAGTCTGTCTCACTAACTGGGGTCACACCTTAGTGGGAGTTGTTGTGTGGTTTGGTTCAGGTTCACCTGTTGCCTGCACGAACCCAGCCACTGTGGCTCGGTTAGTAAAAAAAACCTGATGAAAAATTAGGACTTAGCAAATGTGTAAATAAGATCCCCCTTTATTTTATCGCTCCTTTCTTATTGCCACAAAATTCTTTTTATTACAGATCTTTTTGGGGAAAGTCACCTAAAACCTTAAACTTAGGGAAAGAAAAAAAGGGAAGAGCGACCATCTCCTATTTGAGAATGGCTGGGGGGGGGGGGGAAATGCGTCCTTCCTACTCCTGAAAAAATACGGTCTAATCCAATATTTCTCAACTTCTGCAACTTTAGGATTTATGGTCATCAACTCCTAGAATCCCATGCTGACTGGGGAATTCTGGGAGTTGAAGTCCACCCAATTTAAAGTTGCAAAAGTTGAGAAATGTTGATGGGACCAACCACTCAGCATTGTCATTAAGCTAAAGTAGGAGTTTGAGTTCCTTAGTCACCAAAAGGGAACAAATAAACAAACCCAAAAAAGCCTGTTCCTTTGCTTCTAAAAGCAGGATGTGCAAGCACCCACGTCTGCCTGGAAGCTATCTTTTCTGAAAATACGAGCTTTTTTTTTAGAATCCAAGGAGTAAAAAGAGAGCCTCTGCTAACTTAGGAGTGCAAAAAAAAAAAAAAAAAAAAAAAAAGCATTTGGTACAAGCTCAGAGTAAGTGGTTTTCTTTCTAATTATTTCCTAAGGTTAGGAAGTGTTCTGGGATTTGAACCTTAGTCTTAAAAGGGAGAAAAGAACAATGTATTCCAGGAGTTAGATGTGATTCAAATTAGGGCTGGAGAATGTAAGCCAGCAAAGAGATCCTCAACTCTTGAGTTGGAGGATTTTGTTCCACAAAGCGTCTTCATTTCCCTGATTAAAGAGCTGCACACTCACTATCACCCCCATTTCAAGGAAGGCAGCTTCCCCAGGGAACTCCTGGCTTTTTTCTTTGGTCTAAGGAAGGGCGATACCAAGGAATAGCCAAACATAGCTAGGAAGAAAAGGACAGGCTCCTGGTTTGGCTTCCTGCCTAATTTGACCGGATTTCTGGCGACAGACGGACTCCCTGGTCCCTGCAGCCACCAGCCGGAAAAAGCAGGGGGGGGTGTGGAGGGGGGAGAAAGGGGAGGGGACGGCTCCCTTCGGAAGTGGCTTGGCCTCTGTGAGTTTGAGCGGTTGCCTGGAACTGTGGCTGTTCCATTGATCACATGTGCAGTGGACCTGAGAGTAAGGCAGGCATTCAAGTGAAAAAAATTCCTCTGGTGCTAACAATTTCAAATAGTGATATGCCAGTTTCTGGAATTTCTCTGTTCCCCACTTCACAACAGGAAACGGTAGGGAGGTATAATCACTGTGAAATCAGATCCAGGCACTACAGAAAGAGGATAAGTTTGACCTACCCATGGAAGAGTATAATCTTAGTTATTCTCTACTACAGAGCAAGGTTGTGGTGGTAGTGTTGCAGTGGTCTATGTACCCTGCTCTTTGTGCTTGCAGAACTCATGAGTCGGTATGTTGCATGAACCCATCAGGTGGAGAGTTTTTAAACTATTGTGATTAAGAAAGCCGGGGCTTGGCATGATCAGTATATATGCCAACTGAACCAATACAACAGAGGATAGAACAATGGTTGGAAGATTAGGTTGGTAGGAGGCTGTGTGGGCGAGTGGTCTTCGTTTAATGCAGTGGTTCTCAACCTTTTTAATGCCGTGACCCCCAACCGGTCGTAAGTCGAGGACTACTCAACCGGTCGTAAGTCGAGGACTACCCAACCGGTCATAAGTCAAGGACTTTCCCTGCCCGGGAGCGCCGCACATGCGTGGTGCCACCCCCTGCGCCGGCTGAGGCGTAGCTGGCAAGCGGCAGAGACGGAGCAGGCCGACCACCAGCTGGGCCACCAGCTGGCCCAGCCCAAAGGAGGTAAGGCACTCACCAGGCCCCATACGTGCCAGCAACTCTCCCTGCACCTGCTGGCCTCCCACCTTCCACCCCTTGCCTTACATTTTTAGTAGTTGCTCAGCAGGGAGGGGTGGAAACTTCCAGACAGCTCACCTTCACTGCAGACAATTTGCAGCACCGTTTGCAGAATGGGACTTTTGGCGGGCTCAGCAGAGCAGAGACAGCCTGGACAATTCCTATTGGCTTTTGAAAGCCAATAGAATTAGATTCTATTCAAGAGAGTCTATTCTATTGGCTTTCAAAAGCCAATAGAATAAAAGGGAGTAGCACAGCTAAGGAAAAGGGGGAAAAAATGGCGGACTGTGTTGTTTGGTGACCCCTGTAAAATGGTCGTTCGACCTCCAAATGGGGTCCCGACCCACAGGTTGAGAACCGCTGGTTTAATGTGACAGCTCCAAGAGCTTCTCCTTAAAAAATTAGCTTGATAAAATTTAACATTGTGACTTTGGAAATCGATGAGGCGATGTTGAGAGAAGGCTCCACTCACATCTGTCTGGACACATCCACGGAGACCAAAAAAAAAAAGCTGGCCCTGCAGGATGCTGGGCAGGAGTGCACTTGAAGAACTGAGAGAGGATGGGCTCACTCTTTGTCAGTGTTAATCACTTTCCTGCCTCTCATCTAACTTGGTTGTAGATCATCAGCAGCTTCCTTTGGGCTCCAAATAGTGAATGGGTGTTGCTTTGCCCGTGTATCCTGGGAGCAGTCCAGTGGGGAAGGTTGGTCTACTGCAGTGAAGACAAACTCTTTTTTAAAAATCACATTATGATACATTTTTATAAATCTTCTCTATGATATGTTTCTCATCCTCCCCGCTGAATGATCTCTTAGAATTAAAGAGATGGCAAAGAGGCATCCCGATACCAGTTTCTCAAGCTGAAGATTCATGATTTGTGCACTACACTCAAAATGTGAAGAGAGGAAGTAGCCCAGATGTTGTGAAACTCCACATGGTTATTAGGACAAGTTAGGGATCCAGATTGAGAGGACAAAAAGTGGTTTGGAGCATGCAGGGAAACAGTGTAGCGCCGATCAGGAAGACTTTAAATAGCTGCTTCATTTCCTGAGCTTGCATGTCTGCCTCATGCACAATCCCAAGCAAAACTCTCTGAATCCCGTTTTATCCTTGAATCTGGATTTCTGTACTCCTCCTCTAGGCCAATTGTGCCACTTTTCTTTCTTTTC